TTGGCGCTTGTAGAGTTGGGGTCTGGCGAAGCTACTGCAAGATGTGCTGCAAGACCAGAGAAAATACGAAAATAACGCCGGAAGCCTTGCTTTATAAGAGCAGTGAACAAGTTTCAAGCACCTGCGTGTTGTACCTTTGGAAAGTTGCTTTAACTACGGGTCTCTAGAGGCTTTTGGTATGCAAGAGGCGTGATGGGGAATGCCATCAAACGGATAGATACAGTTACGGCCAGTAATGCAGTTGCCTGGCTTTATACCTGCTGAAGAGGTTTGGAGTTCGCCTGTAGCATGCACAGATGTGTCCGCGGTCTTAAAACTTCACTTGGGAGGTCTTTGCTATGCAACAGAGCCTCTGCTATAGCTATGTAGGCAGAAGCCCCTAATGTGAATGTACTGTGAGTTAAGCTTAATTTTTTTTCTGCTTGGGGTAGTTTATGAAACAACATAAGCAAAACAGAAACGGTCTCTTTTCTGCAGCACCGCAAGTAGTTGTTGGCATGGTGATGTGAGGAGGAGTTCACATTTACCTCTGATTCCAGAACTACCCTGGGTAACTCACTAGGTTAAGCTCACTAAATAATTATGTTATCTCATTAGGAAAAAACTACATTTTCTTTTCAAACTTCTTATTGCCACCATAAGAACAGTTATACTTACAGTTTTTGTGGATGTTGTATTGTTTAATGTCTTAATGATTTAAAATTTCTGTTGTTTGTTTTTCTTTTATTGGAAGGTACTAGCAGAGGAGGAGGAGGAGGAGGATGGGGTACCACTAACCAGAGATATACTAATGTTATCCAGCCATCTACTTTTAAGTCTAATACATGGGGTGGCAGCAGAGATCACGGAAGAGGATTTTTTGGCTCCTCTGATTTTGGATCATCAGGTGGCGGCAGCAGAAATACAGACTTTTCACAGAACAGATTCTCTGCATTAATGAACAGTCAAAATATTGCTGATGGCTATAAAGATGAAGAGGAGAGACTTCTGTAAGTTGTAGTCCTGTTTCACTGAAAGCATTTAGAATAAGCAATTTAAAAGCTTACTGACTTACTAGAGATAATGCGGAGGACATGATCGTGAGGAGGAAGCTGGGACACGTAGTAAGAACCATAGAAAACACTACCTCATTTAATTCTCTTGAGTTATGCTGGCGTGGGAAGAAGGCGCTCCTTGTTTTGAACCTGGGTTGGGCAGCTAGACAACTGTGATACTAGTAAGATGTTACGGTATTTAAGTTGTGGGCAGGAGGATAAAGAAGGAAACAGATTACAGTACTTGAAAATAAGGGGTCAGAGCCCCTTGGACAGTATTTCAACCATTTTTAAAAAAAAAAAAAAAAAAACAACTCCTTGAGAAAATGAACTATTTGACTTAGTTTTCCTGACACTTAAGATAACAAATTGTTTTGCTAATAGCAAAACTATTGAAACCTGGTTTCACGTGCATGTATGTTAGAGTCAGTTGAGAGTGACCAGCAGGTTCAAGGCCATTACAGGCCAGGTGATGAGAAGCAACAGGCAATGTGATTTCCTGAAGTAGCAAGGTTTTGGAACCACTTTCCATTATTTTTTTTAAGATTACATTACAAAAATGCGTAACAGATTATTTATTCAGCTTCTCAGACATGAATGTATATTGTGTTACAAAACATCTGAAATACTTAGAATCTTTGTTCGTTACTGTGTAGTGATCTGCTTGTCCACTTTAGTTTTTACCCTTTTGCTGTTTGTTTACATTTGAATTTACTTTTGTTGATGTAGCTTCTATTTCTCTGCTTTTGCAATGTCTGGATTTTTATGCTTTTGATTCTTTTCCAGAAATTTATATGGAACACTTATCTCTTTCTCTTTTTTTTCCCCTCTTTTTTCCCTCCCCCCCCCCCCGAATTTTGCTATTTAATACTGTGCATGTTCATTATTTTGTAAAATGGTCTTGTACTGAGAAGGTTTTAAACTGTATTGTGGTCTACAGCTTCAGGGAAAACCCTATGACAGCCTATGCCATGCAAGGATTAAAAACCACTTTGTGTGTGTTGGGATTTTTTTTTAAGATCTGGTTTGATTTACTTGCAGTTAGATGATAAAGTGAAATGCTTTGAAGGGACACTTCTGTATCTTGCTGAATAAGTGCATTTTTTCAGAGAACTGAGTACTTCTCTTGTTTGTTCTGACTAGTCTCATACTTCATTAATTTTCATGGTAGCAGGTATTTGAATCTGGCTTTGGATTCAAACTAGGCAATTGCTTCTGGTGGTTTTGTTGTGACCATATAATTTCACCCTCATCTGTGGTTTTACTTTGATTTGTTTTGTAGTGAATGTGTAGTGAAAGACATGGAAATTTGGGAATCTTCAGGACAATGGATATTTTCATCTTATTCACCAATGAAAGAAAAGCCAAATGTCTCAGGTAGGTAATGTTTTTAGTGTTGCCTTGTACTGCTGCTATTTAGGGTGTTTCTCACACGTGTCCACACTGTTGTACCTCTGTGGAAGCATTTACAAGATGATGATTTGCCTTGTGATGCAACAGAAAGGAATACTGGATTATGGCAAATCCATTTTAGACATTCACATCTTTGGAGTCCTTTTTGTGTCTCCAACTGTAACTGAGTAACAGATAATCTACCAAGGCGCATTGCTTCATAACTACAAAGGGCAATTGGAAGTATTAATATATTTTCTTGGAGGTTTTTTATTATTCCTCTCCTTACAGGCTTTCCAGATTTCTCACCAGAAGAATTGCGTCTGGAGTATTATAACTGCAGAGCAAACAATAACATTCAGAACTATGTAAGTATTTAAAAAATGCTGACTCTTTATGTGGACACATTTCAAGATAGGACTTGTACTATTCATCAGGTGGCAACTCTTGACGCATTTAATTACTAAGCTCTAGGAGATTATCAGAATGCCAAAATATTTTTAAATTACTGTGCACCAAATAGAATGCAAAAAGAGCTGCTAGTCTGTATGCTCTACTGTAACTTCCTATTTCTGCCTGAGATCAGAGGCTAAAACTGTCAGATCTGGGCTTCTAAAACTGGTGGCCTAAACGCCTAGACGTATCAGTTCCTACAAAAAATGGTGGCAATAGACTTTTAGCTAATTTCTGTTAAATGTATGGTCTTTCTAAACCTAGACACTCCTTGTCTTAGTCTTGTCCCTGCTCTTGTGTGTTATTTGTAGAAGTTACTCAAACACTGTCTCAAAAGTTTAATACTTCGTATGCTGTTAGTCAGTTTGATTGTTATAGCTGGATATATAGTGCTTTAGGTAGAACACTGGGGAAGTTTATTTGACCTTGTTCTTTTACATACCTTTATTGCAGGGAATTAATGCTGAAAATAGCAGATACTTCTAAAGGAGTATATACAGTTCTAGAAAAGAAGTAATATATATGGTTTTATGTATATATAAATTTATATCTTTTGTTCCTCCTTCATAGTCCTATCAATATAAAGGAATGTAGCACAGTTCAGTGCTGTGCCAGGAAAGGAATTAGGCTATTGGATAGACACAAGTACAAACTAATTCAAGCTACATTGCACTCTTTCCTCTTCCCCTTGGTTCTGTATTACAGAAGGAATTGCTGTTGTCACCACTCTTGCTTTCTTGTGTTTTGAATTACCAGAATTGCATTTTCAGAGACAGGAGATTTTTTTTTTTTTTAATCAATTAAAAAAATAAACTGAAATGATTAAACAATACACTATGCCTGGCTATTAAAAAAAAAAAAAAATTTTGGCCTCACTGAAGCACTGAATGCGAGTTCATGAAAGTCTCAGTGAATAGATGATAACTGTATATACGGTTCTCTCGCAAAATGTTTAAGTACCACATGTCTTTTCCAAAGCCTGTGTTCCTATTCTTAAACTGGGTCAAAAATCTGAATTTTCCAGTCTGTTGTATAAGAGCTGATACCAAACAACATGATCTTCCAGCATGTGACTAGACACAAAAGAATTACTGATGTTTGTGACGCAAGACCGTTTTGAAAAATTAAGGAACTTATTTACAAAAAGATTACTCATTCTACTCTTGCAGGCATTTTGGACGTTACATGTTTTACTTAGTTTTTAAGGAAAATTCATTTAGGCCAGGCTTCGAATAAGGTGTGTTGATAAACCTAAATATGGGAAATTCAGGTTTGAAGTTCCTGAAAAGTAAGTAATACAATGACTTTCCAGTTTCTTGTTTAATCACAGTTAGCAGATAAGCTCAGGTGCTATTTATGGCTCTATATGTTCTGTGCAGTGACCTGTTGGATCACATTAAAGGGGCTGATTTAAATTAAGGAAATTCATTTCTGCAAAGCTAAATATTTTAGGATGATACTGTTAGTGTTCTGAATTACAATGTTTTGAAAGTGGGCAGGTTTTTTTCTGAAAATGTCAGAGAAGCTAAGGCAAATCCTAGGACTTCAGCTTAATGAGTGAGCACATAAATGGACAAGCCAGAAATAAAACAAGGATTGAAGAGTTTGTTCTCTTATACTTAAAACTTACGTATTTGGTGTGTGTGGTTCTCCCCGCTCCCAAGCACCTAATTCAGATAGTGATAGAACTTAGATTTAGAAAGCCCCAGGACATGTTTTTTTAATCTTATTGTTACTTGAAGTAAAAAAAAAAGTTGATATAGTAAGAGAAATGAAAGCAATTCTGTGTTAATAACAAAAATTTCAGCTTCTCACCTTGAAGTTTCAGGAAAGCAAAAATCTTGTCTTCTTGGCTTAATGAAGTTTTTTTACCAATTCTAGAAATGTTCTTTCAGTTTAGTTGTCAGATCACTCTATTTGTCTTTTTAAGTCTTCACCGATAATAAAAGTATGCTTTTCTTTTTCCCCTTTTTAGATAAATTCTGTCCAAGAGTTAGCAAAACAATGGAAAAATCGGCTGCTTCAGTTGAAAGCTTTAAATGCATCGACAAAAGCAGCTTTGGTAAGTGTTAATGAAAGGTAAGATGTTTCTGTTCCTGATGTCATGTTTTTTATGAATCTTGGGCAAGTGTTTTTCTTAGATTCATGTTTTTTTAGACACATCACCCAAAATGTCCTGCAAATGCCAACGTTAATTTCTGCTACAAAGATTTCTAAGACATGATACTTGTAATGCCACTTTGTTTTTAATGAAGAGATCTTGCAAATGTTCCATAGAAACTTCAGCTGTTATCAAAGTATTTAACTACACTTCTACTAACTTTATATAAATAGGTAATAGGTATTGCTTTGAAGATTACAGGTTACTATATTTTACAACCAAATATACACGATTCTTTTAGGGCATCCTTGTTTGCACCTAAATAGCTGAGACATGAAAATGTTTGATTCCTAGATTCATTGGCAATTTTATTGTAGATCTATGAACTGTTCTGAAAAATCTCAACTGCGATGTGCTATATTCTGGCACTACAGCCTTGAAAAACATCTGGCATGAAAGCGTTTGGCTGACTGGTAGCACAAAGACCTTGACAGTAATGTTAGAGCGCTTCTGGGAATGTTAGAGAAAGTGGAAAGGTTGTAAGGGATAATTATATAACAGAATAATGATTGCAGTTTGAAAACTGCCCTGTCTCCCCGTCTGTGTGGTTTTTATAGGCGATAGAAATGTGACTGAATATTCTAGCACTGCCTGAGTCAGGTGAACATGAAAATCTGTGAACACAGTTTTGGGTCTTACATCCACCTTTCTCTGGAATCACGAAGTCAGTGAATTGCAGGCGGGTATTACAAAACCCTGTAGTTAACTAAGCGAAGTAGTGTATCAGGATGGTTCCATGTTAGCAAGGCAGCAGCTGGATCCCAGGTTTGCAATACTATCTTTTTGCAAGCCACATGAAAGTAACTATAGCTTGAGGTTGGGATCCGGTTGAGTAGATGTATAGCAAGAGGCAAATATCCACCCCACCTTTTCTTCCATGTGCTGACTCTTCCAAGGTATAATCAGCAGATGAGACCAGAATTGTCCTCCAGGCCGTCTTAGGATAAATGGAGCTTTTTGGTAATACCAGAAGAGAAATTGATAGATAGGTGGGAGAGAAACCGTTTGAATAAAATTTGAAGATACAAAGAGTAGTTGTTCCTGGGAAGGTGACAAACACTTGTGAATATAGATGTGTCAGAAAAGAATGCTTGAGTTAAAGGCAGTATTAAATAATCAGGGAGACAGAGTAAGTTAAGTGGAGTCTGCCTGAAGTGCATTAAAGTTTTAGTAATATGATCATACCCCGTGATCATACCCACCAGTGCTGAAGGTGAAGAAGCGGGATTTGGTCTTAGCACAGAAGACTAGATGTGCCAAGAGAGAGAACAGACTAAGTCCAAAGCAATGACATAGACAGGGTCATAAAGCACTAATTGAAATAGGCAAGAGATGAGAATGAGAGCTGGAAGAGGTGTTCAGGTCATTGACTGACAGAAAAAAGTAAATTGTAATCTATTTGTGTTTCTGGAGTGTTTTACAGAGAATAGTGTACAGCCTTAAAGCATTTTGTTCATAGCTACAAGAGCATGCAATCGTAATGAAAGTGATCAGTACCTAACTTAGTCTAAGTTACATTAAATTGGACTGGGCAGCTATATTTTTGCTTCAAGTATTTATTAAAAGACATTTCCCTGTTTTGGAATCTAGTTTTCATTTATGTATTTGGAATTTTTTAAGCTATCTGAATTAAAGAACACAGTCGCTCAACCATTGCCTGCCTTTGGATTTGGAGGACAGCAAACATCAAGCTTTGGGTTGTCAAGTAAGTTCCTGCATTAAGAACCAACAGTTAAATGTTTTCTTGAGGTTTTTCTTCTTCTGCATAATTGAAATGCAGCAGTGGTTTAGTATTACAGGTGTGCACATTCTAACATTTTTTTTTATAATTGCAGGCTTTCCTGTGAACAGCAGCAGTAACAGTGCTAGCAGTTTCTCCTTTAAAACAAGTTCCAGTCTCGTCAGTGCATCATCTGGAAACACCCCTGCTTTTGGGAGCTCTTCTGCTGGTTGTAATCCTCCCGCATTCGGTGTGACGTCCTCTCCTAGCGTATCCCATTCTGTTGGTTTTGGCAGCCCGGTGGCTCCATCTGCAGCCTCCTTCTCGTTTAAAACTTCTGAAACAACTAGCGGTTTTGGAACTTCTGGGTTTTCAGGGTTTGGCAATTCTTCTGCTGTGAGCTCTTCAAGCACCACTCCGCTTACAGCCTTTGGAGCTTTTAATGCAGCAGTAGCAGCTTCTCCCTCACATTCAAGCAGTACTTTATTTGGACAGACTGCCAGTTCGTCTGGACATAATATAACATCAGCGTCTTCTGTAGTCACAAACAATACTACATCAGAAAAGTTATTTACACCAAAGAGTGAATTATCACCTGAAGAGTTGAAACAATTTGAAGCAAAAAAGTTTACAATGGGAAAGATTCCTCTTAAGCCACCACCATTAGAACTTCTAAATGTTCAGGAGTTTTAAATTCATTCTGAAATAACATGTTTTTGTAACTTCTCTGATACCTCCACTACACAATTTCGTGGTTGAGTAATGAAATAAAATGCTCCTATTTGAGTTAATTTTCGTTTCATCTCTAAGTCGTCTGCAATAGTAAACTCACAGGTATAAACATTTGAACATTGTATTTTATAATTTCTTGGTTATTTTGGAATGGACCTTTTACATCCAAGAAATGGACTAATGAAAATTAAAGTTCCATTTTCTATTCCATACTGTGAAATTCTGGGCAAAGACTATATTAAAAAGGCTCTGTCAAAAGTAAGAATGCTTCAGTGAGATATTCACAACCTACTGTGAGTAGAATGCTAGAAAGAAATGGTTGCGGTGCAAGACTGCTTGCTCTTGGGACCACCTTGCCTTTTGCCTCTTATTCAAAGGGTTCATGCAGCCTTTGACAGTTGCGTTTGGAGATAGAGGGCTCCTATGTGGTCAGTACCTAGCTACCTGTTTCTGTTACCTGAGAGTCAGTTACCTCTCCCAGGTGATGCAATTCACCTTTTGTTACTTGTTCTGCTTGAGGGCATAATGTATGAGTTAATGTAATACAGTTGGGGGAGGGCAGCCTTGAAAGGAGCTTGTGGTTTGCTATTTTGACACGTCTTAGATAAAGCTTTGCAAGTAACTGCAAAACTATGTACTACATTTACGTGAATTGATAGAATTTTGTTGTCTAGTTCTCAAAACCTGAGGGGTGCATATATTAGCAATACCTTTTCTGAATTGATGATATTAAGGTCTATATTTTGCCAAGATGCTATAAAGCAGGGATCAGAAATCTTCCAGAGCTGGTACTAGAGTCAGGTGAAGAGAACATTTGTTCTTGACCAGGCTCTCCCATTATGGTTTAAAATGACCAAACCTCATATTTAAGAGGAAAGCAAAAGTTTACTCCAGGATATACATAAATAAATTGATGGTTTCTTTAATGCTTGAAGATAACATTTCACTTCTTGCTATGGACCTATGGTCCCACTTAAAACTTCACTACAACTGTGTTTCCTACCAAAGGTACATAGCATACTGGAAGATGGCCTGCTAGAACAATGTGAACAAATTTGATGTTTAGGATGATAGGCTATGGGTAGGCACTCTGCAGGCTTAATAGAAATCCAGGTTCCTCAGTCCATGTGCTCAGTGCAGATGTACCAGAAACTTGCATATGCTATGTTAGTCCTGTGTTGTCTATATGGATTTTTCTGGTGATTGTTTTGTAGATGAAATTTTTGTTATTGTTGTTAATGACCCAGTGCAGGCTTCTTGCAACTCGCAAAATACTGATACCTTGGCCTGGAGTTCAATTTAATTCTTAGGAAATGTGTTTTTCCAGGTGGGGTCTCCAGAGCTTGTCTCTAAGACTTGTACAAATGAAGACATATATCTGTCAGGGCTCACTTTTATATATAATTCTTATTATTGTATTAAAGCAGCATTCCAGCATAGCAAGAGTATAGTTTGGGGTAAAGGTCCAGAATTAAGTCTTGCTGATAACCTTAAGGATCCCATGGCATGTTTTAGAGGACTGTGGATGGTTCTGTCTTACATTTAAATTAGCAATAGTTTTGAAGTCACCTGTGCTTTTTTCCCTAATCCTCATCCTCTTAAATAACTACTCTCACAAACCGAAAAAGAGAGGAACATTCTAAGTCACAGTTAAGGATAGGCTACCTCTGACAAATGCCAAAGCTATCTTTGCTAAGTTGAAGTGTCTTTATACACAAGGCCACTGCAAGATTTTTGAGTTTCTGTGCCTCAGTGCTGCTCCTATGCTACATAATTTCTGAAAGCAGCTTGCTTTTGAACTTAAGTGATAAGCTAAAACCTTTAGTTTTTCTTAGAGTGTCTCAGCAGGCTGTTGCTGCTAAGCTGCGCTAAGAGCTATCAAAGCTCTAAAGTGCATGAGCTCTTTAAGTGGAAGTGCTTTTGCTTAAAAGAAAAAAATTGTAAGGCCGTGAAAAACTTGAATAATCTACCAGACATACACAAAAGAACAGTGGCTAGATCATCATTCTAACCTACAGGAACCTAAGGGGAGAAGGGAATTTAAGTCTTAATGGCAATATGACCTAAGAAATAAAAAGGCTAAGGAAGGTATTCCTAATTTAGATGACAATAAATAAAAAATCATGCTTTTTTTCAGATCATCTCCTTACCCTCAAAGAAAAATGAAAAAAAAATCACTATTACAGCAATACTAAGACTTGATGTTTCATCCCAAATGTGTCTGAGCATCTAAAAAGATAGCAGAGAGCAGTGTGATATGACTTGGCTAGCAAAAGGCAAGCTGTGTATTTGGCTGCAGAAGTAGAGATAAGGCTAGGATAAAATAGAAGGAAACAGTATTGCTCTAGTGGGCTTACTAAACTGCAGAAAATAAGCAACAATTTATTAGTAGATCAAAGCAATCTTTCCCAACATTTGCTTTTTTTTTTTTTTGCTGTTCATCCCATTCTGCTTTTGGTATGCTTGATATCAAAGTTGCTTGCGAGTGTGAAGGTGGCTAAATAATTTCTTCCTTTTAGCCACAATCATTTTCTTAACTTTTCCTTTTTTCAACTGCTTTTTTGTTTGGTATATGGCTGCTCTCCAGAAAGTCATAATATTGTGGTCTGGCATATAAAAATATATATAGGGTGGCAGCAAACCCACAGATCTCTCTCACTGTACCTCATTTTAGAACAGGAATCATGAGACGAACGGCCAAGCAAAGAGGTGTAACATGTCCTGATTAGTAGAACAACTTGGTCTGTGAAATAGGGTAGAACGTTCAAGCTCCACATGATATTTTCAAGTACTTCCCCTTACTTTGAAATAACAGGATTTATGAGTCACTGTAATTCCTGCAGCGTGGTACAAACAACTAATTTGAAGAATGATTTGAAGTTTTGGTTTCCAAGAGATCATGGATTAATCTTCAGACCCGCAGCACTCGAGACTGGCTGTACACAGGAGAAAAACCCTCCACTGCCCTAGCAGAGGACACAACCCAGCATCTAACAAATGGAATTTTCCCTGCCCTTTTCCCTTCAAGTCATAGTAGCAGCACTGGGAGATCTCAAAACATTGAGCTAGTAGCAGAGACGAAAAGGGGGACGGGGGCGGAAGCGAGCCTCAGAAAGCATCACAATTTTGTCTTAAAAGTTAACCATCATAGTAGCCACGTGCTCTGTAGTTTCACTACGTGCAGCGGAAAGTGGCGCAGTAGCCTTACATTGAGCGGAGGAAGATGGAGCGCAGATCATCAACTGACTAGATTTAAGCCTCAGAGGATAAAGCTAAGGGCATCAACAACAATAAATTAACAGCAGCCAGAAGGATAAGGAGAGAAGAGCTTTCACAAACATGTCTGGGGGGAAAGGAATACAAAAGGCCTATTAATACAGGAGCACTGATGTGAGATTGATAACTCTGAAATGGTGGAAATCTATTTAAAAATACTTGAAATGAGGGACAGTTGAAAATCAATGAGGATGTAATGCAGTTACTGATAAAAGGCAAGTAAGAAAATATTTGTAAGCTTACTGCAGCACAGCGGGAGTCCAGATAATTTGCTGTACTGGTCAGTAAGGGAATCAGCTAATGGACATGTTATAGTTCTGATAATTATTTAGATAACTGATGGAGCAATAGGGATGTGCTAACAGACTGGGGAAATAATGGATCTTAGCAAACAAAGGTACTTATTTTGTTGATGGTTACAAATAATTGGAGGAGGTTCTAAAGACAGATCATCTGGCTTTTAGTAAGGCATTTGATACCTAAACATCTGACACCTCTTAAATGCCTGCAAGTGATTAGGGTTAACAGTGAGTCACAAACATTGATGAGTGAGTGAATGCTTTTTGTTTATAGTCCACATCCCATATCCTAATGTAGAGGACAGCAACAAACTGTAATTTGATATTTACCTGGACAGTAATGGGGGGAAAAAAGCCATAGACAATTAGACAATTTAAACAGATACCTAATTGTATTTGACCTAAATACTAGAAGGAAAAATTATGCTACTAGTATTCAGAGAGACGGAGAAAACTGTAGAGTTGCAAGTGACAGTGAGATATGAAGCCACTGTGGTTTATCTCAGTAAAACGTAGCGTGAGCTGTAGGAATCTCCTTCCCTGCGTGACTTGGTAATGCTGGGTCTGGGTCTGGGCAGGCAGTTGCCATAGAGCTGCGTGACGAGTAGAAGGAGATCCAAAGAGCAACCAAAGTGATTGCCGGTTGGAAATGAGGACGTAGGAGGAAACTTAAGAGCTGAAAAATTACTGCTTGATGAAAGCAGAGGCTGTGGCATGGAATGACCGTCTTATCGAAAGGGTACCCTCTCAGAAGGGAGGAAATGGGATTTTTTTTAAGGCATCTTGATTAGTAACCAGAATATTGCGGTACTTCCTAAGCAATGTCTTAGACAGGAAGTTTCCCAGCTGGGAAACTTTTTTTCTTCCTCTGTTAAGATCTGCCAAAGTCAAAACCAAAACACTAGAAACAAATCCCTACCTGTCAGGGGTAACAGTGCATGTCCGCAGAGATGCAGCGGGCAGCGTAAGTAGATCTGATCCCTTGCCTTTGAACCAAAGTGCACCAGCTCTCGCAAAGAGAGTGACATGAGCGCAACGCTGAGCATGTGGAGCGGGCAGCTGCGCGTGCCTCGCCGCTCCCGGGGGCCTAGCCAGAAAGAGGGATCCTCTCTCCGTCGAGTTTAAAGAGGCCGATTAGCTCCCTAACGCTGGCAGTGAATATGCCTCTTGGTCTTGAAACTCCCACTCACAATTGCCTGGTTTCCCTGTTAAGAATAACCAAGTAAAAAACCAAAGAGTAGTTCTCAGCAACTCAATCTTGGGCAACGTTCTTATTTAATCTGCAGTGCTGTTGCAAGTTTTCGGTTTGGTCTGCAGAATAGAGCTAGGCACATTCTTACAACACGGTATCATGCAATGGGCTCCTTGGTGAGACTTACCCTCCTG